CTTCAGGCAGCCATCGCCCCCCCCCCGAGCCCTGCCAGATACACGCCTCTTCATACTCACCATCAAAATCTGTGTACGGAGAATCCCTAAGCAGTGCACCTGATCCAAAGTCTATGAGCTTTAGGTCACCATGCAGGAGGTCTACCAGAATGTTCTCGTCTTTTATGTCTCTGTGCAACACACCACACATGTGGCAATGGCGCACTGCCTCCACCACCTGTCGGAAATAGCTCGCAGCCACATTCTCTGGGAGCGGTCCACGGTCTGTGATGACGTCGAACAGGTCCCGAGACGCAGGGGGCCGTTCCATAACAATGAAGTAGGAGTCGGGCTGCTCGAACCAATCCAGAAGGCGGATAATGCCTCGGCAACCCGGAGACGACACTTTCTTCAGCAGGAGGACTTCCAAAGGAACAAGGGTGCCATTCTGCAGAAGGAACCCAAAAGAGAGAGAGAGAGAGGCTGGTGAGCATTTCACCCCACCTGTAGTCCAAGCACAGCAGTAGAACTCCGAGAAGAATCAGCAGAGAAGGACAAACGCACCATGTGATCGAACTGCAGGACTTGCTCCTTGGCAATGTATTTGATAGCCACCTGGAAGAAAATGAAAAAAAAAGTTACACTGAGATTTTAAGGGGCACCATCTACTTCCGTGGCTTTCCCCGTTTCTAAACTTGGAACTGGCCCCGCCTCAAGCCAGTGGGGAGTACAAATCCAGTGACTGCAAATCAATGACCTAGCGGACAGCTAAGGACAAGAGGCTGTTGGCCTAAGCCAAGGGAAGAGGAGATTTCACTGACACATATGACAAAGTCCCAAATCCTTTGTGTAGCCAAGCAAATGGCAAAACTTGTGGAGGCCGATTGCTCCAAGTTTAAAAAAAAAAACCCTCCAAAAAATCAGTTGCGTGCAGAATCACAAAAGTACACAACTAATAATATCTACAGGCGTCTTAAATTGGGGCAATTCCCCTTCCAAAGTTGTGCTGTTTGTGCTATGCCAGTTTAACTAGGTAAGAGGATTTGGGATGAAGTGTGTTAATCGCAAAACAAGGTCTAAACACCAGATTTTTTTTTTCATTAGCAGGAACAATTCCTTTATCTGAAACTTTTCAGGTTGGGGTGGCAGAGTTGGTATTTTGCAACAAAAACAATGCATTTGAATAAGTGGGCCACAGTCCCCAAAAGTTTAATAAATGTAGAACATTTTAGTTTTAAGAGGCCACAAGATTCCATGTCGTCCCATCTGCCCCCTCCCTTGGGGTCTCTGCTCCCTTTCAGCAACCTTCACTGTACGTAGCCCAGTGATTCCCCACCAAGGGTTCTTGAACTGCAACTCCCAGAAAACCCAACCAAGCACAGCTACTAGTGAATGCTTCTGGGAACTGCAGTCCAAAAACACCTGGGTTTCCCCAAGATTGGGAACCTTCGCTATAGCTAGAAAGGAAATGAACTTCCGCACCAAGTGTATTGCTATAAAATATGACCCCGTTCCAATGAAAATTATTTTCAGGGAACCTGGATTGAGCTGGCTGGATAGTTGGTTTAGCTATCTGGTCAGGGAGCCAGAGATTGGGAGTTTAATTATTCCCTGCTGTGCCTTCTGGGAGCAGAGCCAGCCCGGGTGGCCTCGGGCAAGCTACCCAGTGCTAGGAATCTTAGAACTGCCACCACTGGAAGGGACCCTACGGATCGCTGAGTCAAGCTCCTGCCAAGGAGGTACAGCGGAGAATTGAACTTCCAACTTCTGACCCCATAGCCAGATACCTAAACCGCTTAGCTCTCCAAAAGCTATGGTAAAACACTTCTGGAAAAACCCTGAAAAGGGTTGCCATAAGTCAGAATTGACTTGGAATGCGCATGATTATTATTATTAACCTGGTTTTGAATGGGCCACTAAGGTTCATCGGCTTTACAAAACATTTATTACTCAAGGATATAAGAAGGGCTAAATCTGGTTTGTTGATTCGCAATGCCAGAACGGACTGGAGTCTGGGAGGCTTCTTGAGGACAT